TGCCGAATTTCAATAATCTGAAGCGACAGTTTTGTTCAGAATTTTTTGCTGATTTCGAAAATATATATTTTATCTTATTTTATTGGGGGCCGCAAAGTGGCCTTACCCGCCTCCCTCCTTTTCTTCGCTTTCTCTTATTATGGGCCAGAATCTATCGAGCTCGGCCAGAAAATAAGAAAGCTTTGTAACAAATTATTACCAAACATTACGCTGAATGTAGCTTATAAGAAATATTCTACTCTTAAAAATATATTCTTACCAATTCAAAAAGGCGTCGATCCATCTCGAAAAGACAAGAAATTTCTATTGTATATGTTGTAATAATTGTGAAATGAAATACACCGGAGAAACTAATCGGAAAAAGTCTACTAGAATGAGTGAACATAAACACACAAAAGATATTAAAAACAAAATAACATCCCAAATCGCACAACATTGTAATGCTAACAATCATTCTATGAATTTCACTAATGTCGAAACTCTAGCTCTAGAATCAACTTGGAAACGAAGAGTAATCAAAGAAAGCCTGTTAACAATGCAAGCAAACGAAAAAGCTGTTAACGATGTGAAACATAAACTAAAAGTTTTCTGATTAATACTCTAAGAGTGCAATATATGCGACACAAATATGTCCTTACAACAGAAATAAGCGCTTCTTTTTGTCGACTCTACTCATCAACAGACTGGACGTGTTTTTTGTTCTATATTTTATTAGTTTTCTCCCTTTTTTCTTTTTCACTCTATATTTGACTATGTATAGTTTCAAATTTGACACACTCATTTACACTTTTTTCATTCTGATGATAACAGTGGATTCTGTCGAAATATCAATGAAATAAATACATTACGATTAGTTAATCATGTTTATAGCAGTTTTGTACTACATTACCTCGTTAAAATGATAGTAGGCAATCGAAATCGCAAAAATGCAACTCATGAACTCATACGGAAACGGCCAAAGCAATCATTGCTAAAGAATGAAAAGCCTAAAAGTGAGTAAAGTCAAACACATTCAATTAATGCTATTCCAACATACACTCACCGTTTTTTAAATGAACAGGAACTCAACGCAAAAGAACAGAAGAATCCAAAAAATACATCACGAAACATCAATCAAGAGAAACTTAATAAACTGATTATACCTTTGATTAGCATCACTCTTACCCAACACAAAACGAATAAAATAACTTCTCTTTAAAACATAATATTCGAATATTCCTCTTTGTGCTTCATTTTAAATTAAACAACAATTCATGTGATATCTACACCATCTAAAACTTATATTTTTTCCAGACAAACCAAGCAGTTTCTTTTTAGTTATCTAAACTAAATGACACCATCTCTTCTATTGTAGATCATGAAAAAACGTTTTATACAAAACAGTGTGAACCAAACGAAACTATGAACATTGTTCATCCAAGCATATAAAACCGCCACCAAGAAAAATTGTCAAAAACCACTTGCTATCTGATGAGATCCGTAGTTGGATCGAAAACGTTTATGGTAGCTTATCTCACTCTCACCCTCACAAAATTCCTAGGAGATTAAAATATAAAACACGATGCATCTTCGAGAATCTTAAGCGAGAATCTGCATCACGTGCATCATTATTGTTGATGAAGATGGTTCACTTTTTTTCTCTTTTACTTTAACATTCATAAAATATCATATTTCACGAAATATTAAGCAATTATTAATTATTGTCCTTTGCTTCTGAGTAAACTCAATCGTTTATTTTGATACTCTTGATTTTCATTATAAGTCTTTTCCCATTCTTCAACTGTAACATTTGGTGAACTATGTTTACCCTTTTTGCAACCGCCCATCATACTTCCGCTAAATAATGTTTGATGACAACAAATAAATTTGAAACGTTGTTTCATACGTTCAAGATATTCCTTTTGTTCTGGTGTTTGCATACCATTTGCGGATGATCCAATTGATAGAGAATCTTCTTTCATTAATTGTTCAGTGGCTCTTCGTTGAGTCCATATATCCAATTTCGGAGAGTAAATATTATAGATAAATCCATCATGATGTGTACAAGCACCCATGCGATTATCTTGTTCAATATAAAAATCATCACATTGAACGCATTTAATTTGTTCAGTAGCTCGTCGATTTTCTTCTTCTTCTTCCTCGATTTCATCTACTGAACGTGTAAATTGAATATCATCACAAAACTGACGCAATAAGAATGGTTCACGTATGGCCATAACAGACCATTTTTCATCACTAACAATGTTATTGTTATCGTTAGAATCTGATGGTGCTTGAATATAAGTATTTTGAAATTTATCTTTAATATGAGTGTATATATTATGATTGATCAATGATAGATTCGTTGTTCGACCTGTTGAAGCATTTCCTTCACTTCGATTAATACCAATTAATGAATCTAAATCATAAACAATCATTGAACGACGATATGCAGCACATTCATCAAGTCGTTCTTTTAATGTTTCAAATTTTTGTTTTTCATCATAGGCACTTTCAGCGGATAGAAGATTAAGATCGATCAACTGCAGAAGTTGAACATTACGTGATTTACCATAAACAGTTAAACGTTCAAGTAAACCTTGTATACTCGTTTCTGTATCGAGTAAAGCATGCCGATGAACAATTTTCTCTCGTTCATGAGTTATTGGATGTGTACGTACAGCTTCAATACTGACGTGACGCGCGTCCATATCAATAAGAATTTTGCCTGTAAATATTGAATCTCTTTGATTCGCTAAATCATGAAAACGTTCTTGAGCTTGTTCATCTTTACTGCTGTGATATTGATGATTTGTCGAACGTAGTAAAATTGTTGCCAACGTTTCGGCACCGAGCAGTATACGATATTGTCGAGCGGTCATATCAGTCAGCACAAGCATTGTGCGATAATCCAATTCATAAGACGCATCGGTAGTTTTTTGAACATTGTGGCAATATGCTGTTATCAGACGACGAAGACTTCTATTAAACATATTTAGAATAACTGTCAATCTATTGATTCATCGCTCAAAATGAAACTAAAAGATGGTCCAAAAGTTTCGACTCCTCAATAAATCTCATTTTACTAATCCTGAGTGAATATTTTCATCTTATATTTTTTGAGAAAAATTGTAAAAAGGCTTTTCAATAAAAGATCTAAATGATTTATAAGTTTGTTAAACTAACGTTTTATAAAATGTCGATAATCAAATTTGATTATGCGTGGATCCTGTTTTTGAACGAGTGCTTCCCTAGTCGAACATCTTGGAACCAAGATCTTGACATCTTAGATTTTTTCGAAAAGATCTTGGCAAGATCTTTGGTACAGGATGTCAAGATATTTTTGTTCCTAAGATCTTGCC